TTAGCAATTTGCCCTAGTTTTAGAGCAAGCTAATTCCACTGACTTATTCAAAACTTAATGGAAGAATATCACTACAGAAGCACCTTTTAAAAAACATCAATGGAGAGTTAAAAGTCACAATGAATTTTGTGATCCAGCATAGATTATTTTTTCTTGTATATTCTCCAGAGCACTTGGAATTGGCTTAATCTATTTAAAATAGATTGTCTTGGTTGGTGCAGAGTTTGTGAGTGTGTACATGTGCGTGCACGTGTGTTTCTGTATATATCAAAAGGATGCTTGGCATTTTTTGTAACCTGTACTTTTATTTAATTGTTAAGAGGTGGTGTGGATTTGTTTTTTAGTTTAACTGACAGCCCTTACTCCTTTCACCTCCATACATTGCTTTAGAACTTGTTTTCCCAGCAAAACTCTTATATCAACAGTTAGTTGGCATTTGGGGGTGGCTGGGGAGTTGGTTGGAATCTTAAAGAATCTAAGGGGATTATAAGGGGGTATAGAGTCCCTCGTATGTTCCATTTGGTTTAAAAACGAACCACTGAGTATATGTCTATACATCTGAGTTGGCTTTATATATTCCTCCTTTGAACTACCAGGCAAAAGCCATCTTTCCAACATTTTTATACAGCTGAAGCAGGTATCCCTACTATTTTGGAGCCCAGTCATTTGACCTCTTTACAGCTGAGGTTGCTCTGGCTGTATCAAATACTTTAAATTGAATCAAAAGAATTATAGAATCAAGAGCAGGGGAAGAAATAGTACCATTCTATTTTGGTAGCAGTTTGATACCACTTTAAATAGCATGCCTCAGTCCTACAGAATTCTAGGATTTGTAGCCTAGTGAGATGTTTAGTTTTCTGTGCTAGAAACTTGGGTGTGCTCCCTTGCACTACAGCTCTTTATGCCAAACTACAAATCCTAGAATTCTTTGGAATGGAACCATGACAGTCAACACTGTTGGAAGCAAAAAGGCATAAGTGCTTCTATAGAGTAATTAATGAGAGAGGAGACTCTAGAGCAGGGGTCCCTGGACTTTTTGATCCGGGGGATGGTTCGCTGGCCCCCAGATCTTCTGGAAGGCTAGAGGCGTGCGCGCGCATGCGCACGACTCCAGACATCATTTTGGAAGACAAAATCGTGTCTGGTGGCAGGCGTGAATGGTGGTGGTGGCAGGACCAGCCACAGGCCGGTAGGAAGACCTTGATGGGCCGGTTCCAGCCCATGGGCTGTAGTTTGGGGACCCCTGCTCTAGAGAGCATGCCTGCCCTTTTTGTTTCACTTCCCTATTTCTTTCTCTGAGCTATGTATGTGTGGGCATTGCGTGCCTTCAAGTAATTTCTGACTTATGGCAACCTTACAGCAAACCTATCACAGGGTTTTCTTGGCAAGTTTTGTTCAAAGTGGTTTTGCCACTTTCTTCCTTTGAGTCTGAGAGACTGTGACTTGCCCAAGGTCACCCAGTGGGTTTTCACAGTTGAGCAGGGATTTGAACCCTGGTCTCCCATTGTTCTAGTCTGACACTCATCACACGGGGTATAAAGCAGCCCTAATCCAAAGGGCATCCGTAGCTAATACATATTATCT